ATCGCGTCTCTTATTTCATAGCACAGCCGCCATCTTGTTAATACTCGTGTCTCCTGTGGATTCATCTTTTCAAATCGATTTGCTCGCTCATAATTGTAGATAAATTGTAAATACGTTTGTATATAGTATCAAAGAGTGCGAATAGTTTATTTTTATCGGCCTTCGGCACTTCCCTGTTGTTCGCAATGCCGTTTCGAGCGCGTTGTTGTTGTCCTCGTCACGATGAATGGAAACACGGGAATGTCAAAGAAGAGCAATTACGCCAGTGCAGCCGCAAGGAAGCAAGCGTCTTCAACCTAATTGCCACTGAGGACCCGAAGAATAAGGGCAGAAAAAGAAAAATTTGTGTTTCTTGCCGTTCTAGGCTGGAAGTTGAAGTCAAGTGCCAAAAACTAGAGGTAAGCCGGCTCACATGTTTATACTGCAAGCCATTTGTTAAGTAAGATTATCTTCGAAATAGCTTCGCATTTTTCGGTGTCCTGTATAGAGTAAGAGAGCCTTATATTTAAGTTTCGTCAAGCAAGGCAATCTATAAGTATTTTGTTATTGTCAGTCTTCGGTTTATTCTATTCAAAGGTTAGCTGCTAGCATTGGCATGAATTGGTATACTTGTCACACAGGTGTGAATTTTTGGTAAGTAAGCTCAAGCTTAAATATATTTCACGAGCGGCCGACAGAACCCCCAAAATCATTTCAATGGATCCTAAAGGGGATAGACTGAAAAAAAACGTAGATCTGTAAAGCTTGTCCAGTGTATCAGAATTTATATTTCAGGGCCGCATGCTCTACTGAAGTACATTGTAAGGCAAGTGTCCTCAGTGATAGGTACTTCAACAGGATAAAAAGATGTATAAGCTATATGAAACTTGTTTATTTGCACACATACAGATTTATACATAACAGGTCGACTGAACGCAAATCATGTTTTTCACTAGCAGCATAGCATAAGCATGAAAAAGAAGAATAGGCGTAACAGCACTTATTTCAATTTGAAAAGAGTCCAACATGGATTGTAAGCACAAACAAAAATGCAAACATACTTGTAAGGATTAAATGTGGCCTTTTTTTTTCTGCTTCTGCCTATGTTCACCCGTTTTCACTTGTCGCAAGATCTTATGCTTCTGGTTATGCCAATGTCGCTAGTGAAAACCAGGCTTAAAGCTTACCTTGCCATCACAGTGAAGCTGCGAATATAAAATGGGAAGAAAAAAAATGAAAGAAGGCGTCTCCGTGTTGATGTTATACAAATTTCGTGCTTTGCAAAACTTCCATTTCTCTATATACATTGTTTCACATATAGTAATCATAAGTGCTCTTTTGTAATGTAAAATGCACATGCTTCAGCATTGTTTATGCTGTTTGTTACTCAACCAAATCGTGTTGCATTATTGTTCTCTTATTTTGCCAAGATACGATATTGGGTCAATTTTTGCATAACAAGTATTGTTCATGGTAAATGGCCCATTATAACATGTTTGAACAGGGCATAATATGATGTAGACATTCCTTGATCAGCAGTGCCACTATTTTCTGGTTAGGAACACTATGATTTCTTTTACCATAAGTAATCATGTTACCTACATGTTCAACCACTTGTACTTGTATTATGTGCCTTTCTTTGATCTCGTGGTATTCTTTCTTCACTTAGGAAATTTGTATGAGGGTGCAGACCTCACCTGAAGGTGTGTTTGATTCAATGTCGTGTGACACCCCTAATGCTTCCTGTGTGGGAGGTGAGCTTGGTGATGGCGAGGACCTGTTAGAACCCGAACCAGAACTAATGACTCACATCTTGACCTCGTCTGTGTCAACCTCATGTGACAAAGGCACTCAAAAACCTCCAGTACGAAAGGCCCCTTACAAAGACTTGTCAGACCGGTCAAAAAGACTAGTCAGGGCTGACATGATTGACTTGTTGAGAGATGAAGCCATGAAAACAGTTCATTTTGTACCAGAAGATCTGGCCAAATTTATGGATGAGTTACTTCAAAACAAGAATTTTTGTTCGGCATTTGGGCTTGTCCAAGACATTTCAAAAAATCCTACAATGCAGTGTCTCATAAAGGAATACCAAGCTTGTATGGACAAAGAAAAGAAGCAAGAAGTGAGAAGGAGATCCTTGAAACAAACAAGCAAGGTTTGCATTGGCAATTCGCTAAATGATTCACGTGTGACTCTCACAGGTGAGAAAACACCAGAACACTTCAAGGACAGGGTAACTGCTGCCAATTCCATTGGCAGGCTGACCTGCTATGCAGATGAGAGGCGAAGAATATTGTCAATTGTTGCATTGGATTATCCATACGGTGTGTTGCAGGATTTGTTTAACTGTTCGTCAAAGACGATAGCAGCTGCTAAGGTCCACTGCATTTTGTTTGGTCGTGGTGGAACCCCTCCAGCAAAATTCAAGTTTAGGAGACAGTGTGTCAGTCCTGACATACTGATGGAACTATCTGAATTTTTCAATAGAGAAAGTGTTTCAAGGCCTTCTTCCTGCAGAAGTGTTATGATCGACGGCCAGGAAACACCAGTCAGGTACTGGAAGGACAGCATTAAGGAACTTGTCAACCAGTACTTGCTTGAGTATCCCAGTGGTGTAAAACGCACCTACATTTACACCCACCTTCCATCCAACTTTCGTTACAACACAATGCTGGCAGGGTTGTGTAACCTGTGTGATGAGTTTGGTTACTCCAATTTTGAGAAGTTTATGTCTTTCCTTACCTGTGTAGAAAGAGCAACGACTGTTTCTGTCAATGATTTTAAGGGCAAAGTTTTACAGTACCAGCGCTTTATGAAGACCCAATTTGCCCATCAAGTGCAGAGGCATTCCCCATGCTTAGAACTCTGCATGAACAATGCATTTGCCTCCTGTTCGCAGCCACATGACAGGTTTTGCCCAGATGCATGTGTGCTCTACGATGTTTGCAAGCAACTACGCACACTGCTGTCCGGTATCCCAAGTGCCAGTGAACGAGAAAGCTTGACAAAGGAACTTGATGAACTCATGAAGGTTCACACCCAATATGTGGCACATCTACTACGCACACGACACCAAGGCGATTATTATAAGTACATTCTGGATAACTTGCAACCAGGCGAGGCTGTGGTAATCGTGGATTACAAAATGAAATTGGAGTTGGGTGTCAGAGCAAGAGAAATCCAGAGAGACTGGTATGGGAAGCGTGGAATTTCCCTTCATGGCTTCCTTGCCATTGCCCAAGTGAGTGAAACAGAGAGAAGAACAGAGGTAATTGACCTCTGGAGCGAGGACACCAAACAGGACGCTTGGTTCAGCCAGAGTGCTATGGATGTTGGCTTCCGCTGGATGGAAAAGGAGTTCCCTGGCTTTCGAGTGTATTTATTTTCTGGTAAGCAGTCAACTCAGTTACAATAATACTCCTAGAGACCGAAAACCACTGTAGCATGAAAAGGCTTAGTTTGTATTTCATTTGAACATTGCATGGAAAAAGCCTCAATATAAATTGTAAAACATATTGCTGATTATTATTCCTTATTATAGTAATTTTGAGCAATAGTTTCAAGGATTCACACAATTTGGAATGGAATATCTCTAGGGATTATCAGACAAAATCTCCTTTCTTGTATCCATATGTTTTTGTATCGTTGTTCTATTTGCGCAAACTTGTGACGTATCAAATCATCTTGCAGTTTAGTTGTCATTTCATTCTGTCATGATTGCTACTGACATTGTGGGGTGAAATGCTATCATGTTTTTTTTTTCTTTTAGACTTATTGAAAAGGGTTAACCAAAATTCAGTGGCTAAAAGTTCCTTAGAAATTATTTGTCCTATGGTAAATTTACATGGAATTTTTTTAAAAGGGCATTAGATTAATGAAGTACTGTATGCCTGTTTCCATTATTTTAAGGTATCAACAGCCATGATTTCCCAATGTTTATTGTACAGAATATCATCTTTCAGTGTACTTTTCAACATTTTTTGCAGTCAAGTACTCTTATTCACAGACAGTGTCCACTCGTGTGTCTCAAAATTCGGGAAATTGCAAAGCAAACATTTTAAAAGTATAAAGGGCGAGTACCTTATATAACATGGTAAAAATCTTTTGTTGTTTCAGACAATGGTCCACACTACCACAATACTGGATTTATCCTCTATTTGGCAGAAGTCAGCAAAGCATTCCAGTTGACCCTTGTTGAATACAACAACTTTGAGGCCGGTGAGGGGAAATCAAAGCTGGATACCCACTTTGCCCACATCAGTCATAAGATTGTTAGATGGGTTAGAGTGGGTAACAACTTGGAAACAGGAAGTCAGTTGGGAGAACTGATTGGGGTATGTATATTTGTTTGATTTAAACTCTTCATAGTACAG